GCCTCATCCAACGTAAGCGCCCGCGTCTGAAAGCCGGGTCACCTGCCATCAGCTGAGAAACACGTTCCTCCTTGGCAAGATCATCGTTCTCACTTCTCTTTGAGTCATCCACGGGCTTCTTATCCACGTCCACTGTGCCGGCAGAGTTTGGAGACTTGGCATTAGCTACGGTGGACTGAGCTTTCTCTGGAGACCCTATCAGGGGTAAAACCTTCTCCATTTTTAGCATCTTATTTCTGAGAACTTTGATCTCTTCGTCCTTCATGTTGTTCTGCTTCTTCACCTCTTGCAAAATATCTTCCAATTTGTCTATGTGCACCTTCAGGTCATCCACATCGGTTATTCCTTTACCATTGGCCATCACGTCTTCGATCTTCTCATCTCCGACTCCCACCGTGTCCCAGACATCCCGGGCGACGGCTCGCCACGATTCGCGCTCGTTGGGATCTTTTTTCCCATACATGGCACAAAGCTCCTTCATTTTAACAATGGCCAGGGCCTCAATCTCCTGCCTAGTGTGCCTGAAGTCATTGAGCGCTACCTCATAGCAAATCTCCTTCACAGCCTGAATCTTTAGGTCTGAGATGGTGACCCATTTGGAGTCTTTGCTAAGGCGTCGCCGTTGGGGTATCTGGTACATTTTAATGGGTTCTCGTTTCTTCCCACTGCTGGGGAGGCCACACTTTTTTACAATGGTTTGGAGCTTGCTGGGGGGCAGCTTCTCTCTCAGGGAAGTGATCAGTCTCCAACTCTCCTCACACGATCTCTTGTCCGAATCATCCCCACTATCAGAGTCTGCATCCTTTGGAAAAACAAAAATCAAGAAGTGGCCCCAAAATAACCAAAATTAAAATTGTAAGAAAATGGAAAAGCTAAACAAGAAGTAGCAGGCAAAGAAAACTAAATCAAAAATCAAAATAGAACAAGTGATAAGGAAGTCCCTGAAGACTGAGTGTTAGGGCATTAAAATGTATCTTCAAGAGTCATGGACTGTCAAAATTGGAGCCCTTCACTAAATTAAGATTAACATTATATTTAAAAGTTCTTGTCATCTCAAAACAGCAGATAATCTGAACTCTTCCCTCCCAATCCCTTCCAAAAAAATCTTTAAACAGACCGACTAAAACCAGGTTCATGATTTTTTAAAAAAAAAAATTAAAAACCAAGTGTAAAAACTGCACTTCACACATGCTACAAAGACATGCACATCCCCGCCACACACATTTGCCTTGGTGACTGCTGTGGCTTCTCTCAGCAAGTCCTCCCCAGGTAGGTGAACACAACAGCCATCAGAGAAGGTGTCATGAGCAGCCAGAGTAAGTCGGGTTAACACTGGTTAGTAACGTTGCACGTGGTTGCAGGGGTGCTCAAGTTTAGAATCCACTTCACTACAACAGCAGCCAGAGAAGTGTTAGACCACAAGGAAAAATGAAACAGAAGCAGCCGAGAGGTTCAATGTTAAAAGGACTGTAAGTGCCACTATGACAGGTGAAGACAGTGGTTCATACTCCAAGACTTGCTACAAGCTAAGAGGATATCCAGAATCAAGAGTTTCAGAGGTGGGTTGTGGTTTGGTTTTTGGTTTGGTTTTGTTTTTTTTTTCCCATTTGGCACCTTGTTGCTTATTTTAAGGAAAAAACCATTATCAGTCTTGTCTGTCCGAAGGATGAATTTCAGCAGAATGCAGAGTAAGGACCTTTTTTTTTTTTTTTTAGATTGTTTTAATATGAATTCTCTATTTGATAGCCTTGACTTGTCTTCTTCTCACACCCTAGAGCCTGGAGCTTCCACACACTTGCTAAGCATTATGCGTGTTTTGCTTCTTCATTACAAGTTTTCCACCTTTTGCTAAATGACTTTTACTGAGCAGTGCTTCACGTTTCCATATTCTAGGAATGTTTGTTCAGGTAAACTGCCACCACAAGTTAAGGATATCCATTACTGCTTCCTGCAACCAGGAATTAAAGTCAGACCACTCTTCTTTAAAGGATGAGTGAGTTAAGACATCTCATTAACAAGCAAAAAGTCCTATGGATTATCGCGATCCAAAGATCTTCAATCCAACACAGCCGTCGGTGTCTAATGAGCCTCTCTCTAACATCCCTGTTTTCCACATGGAGATTTATAATACATGAGAAACCAGGAACAACAACAGCCAGTTACTCTAAAACAAAAGGAAACCCAGGTTACTGACTCAGAACGCCGGGTTTCTGGATTTTAGCCTTCGGGTGGATGACCACGAAGAATGGGGAATACACTGGAATTTGGGTTGGGATGATGGAAGAGGGTGAAGGAAATACTGTTCTGCCCTATGGTCAAGATTCACGTTATTTGAGCTTCTTGTGACTCTTTTGTATTTTTTAGAATTAGTACTAGACAATCAACTTCTAGTTTAGGACAAAATAAAAGCAAAACGCTGGTTTAGCAACAGAATATAAACTCTTTGTGAGTTTACAGCTGACAAAATTTGTGGCCCGAGGAAAGAGCCTCCACCAAACTGCAGATTGCAGTGGGAACCAAAGGTGCCCTGGAGGAAGACACTGTGCAGTCTGACCACTCAGGGGTACGACCAGAAAGGCAAAACATGAACTACTGCAACATTAACTCACGAGTTCCACAGGATTCTGACAGGTTACAAAACTACCACAGAACTACTTATGGGTAAAGCAGGTCTTGGTACCAAAAGCTGATGAAGAGCCACTGTGTCATTGCCCTGAGTGCACTCAGAGGTCACCCAGACCAACTAGCACAGCTATAAAGCCACAGTCCAGTATCAGTGGTCACTGCAGAGCCAGTATGGCCCAGAAAACCAGGCAGACCATTTTAGCTCTACTGAACACATTTTCACACTCAATTTGTAAAAATGGAGAACAACTATTTCTATTCCCTAGTCATACTTAGTAAGGCAAATATATTCTAGCTGTGAATTTTGGGGGACAAGAGTTATGGTTTATCTTTTTTTGTACAGCACATCTAACAGATAAACACCCAAATTGGTTGGAATCTCAGCACAAAACCAAAACAATCTGGTGAACAGGATTAGCCAGCTTCTTATATCCAACATCATACTCCAATTTAGACCAAGAAGACTATTTGTATTTCAATATCAGTCTTGCACAGCAGTCAATTAGAGAACCTGATATTGCAGCTGGATATGGCAGCAATGTAAATACTTTTAAGGTACACAAGCTGAAATGCATTCCCAGATTTCCCCCTCATTATTCACCTGCTGCTGGAGGGATGCACTAATCCTGCCCATCCCAGGCTCTGCACAGCAACACAGAAACAACAAACTGTGTCAGGAAGTTTTGCTGTCACCTGAAAAACTCTTCCTGAGCACTGTGATACTGCTCAGTGACCAAGGATCTCTTCTGACATGATCCCTCACAACTAGGAAAGGTGTCCTTCAGGAATTGCTGATGATGTAGGGTGGTATTCCACCCTTGCCCACTGACTGAAACCAGCCAGAACAAAACAAGCTTGACGAAAAAGCACCTTTATTGCAGCATTAACCAACCCACTCTCTAAAGAGCCTTCCCTTAATGTGACGTATTTGGAGAAACAAGTTCCCTCCACAGCACTTTATAAACACAGCCTGATTGGAAGCAGCTTCCCAGACAGCCAATTCCACATCTTTAATTCATACAACAGCTTTGCTTGTGCCTGTCAGCTAAAATTCAAGGGAGGGAATTCCATTACTTGCATCTCCTTTGACACATTGCCAGAAGTTACTCGATACTCAGACTGGCTTTATTTCCACGCTGAACTGATTTTTGCTGTACTGCTTCAGCTACCCAAATTTGAACTCTAAAATTCCAGAGATGGAACATTACATTAGTCACATCTTAACTTCCCTTCTGAATTAAGGGTTGCTTTGGTTCAAAGTCTGCAGCCACTCCCCACCATCCAAGAAATTATTCCTTTGTGATGAAATAATTAGAGATGCAGAAGTCTTTAAGTGTGTAATATAAATTTTAAAAATAATTTAAAATTATGTCGCTTCTTCCTGTGGAAGCCACAGTACTTTGCTCCATTCTGGTTTTGTGAGAAGGGGAAGAGCTTTACAGCTTAAAGCCCAGCATGCATTAAACCCACAGTTTTCAGTGGTCTCAATTTCCTACTACAAACAAATGAATCACGAGTTTGAAATTTTTAGCAGAATTCAGGCACAACTCCATCTGTGTTCAGGCTGAAGACAACCAGCTAAAGCAGGATCTGGAGACTCAGGTTTCTAAAGGAAATCTAGATTTCATTCCTGGGCTTGGCCTTAATTTTAAAATTCACAGGGTGCTTGAAGACTGCAGCAATTTCCATTTGTAATGCACTTCAGGGAGATTTGTTGTGAGGAGACCGAAGCCCTCCTATATCAGACTTCATTTATCAGACTTCCTAGTTAAGAAATATGTGGAATGGTGGAATTCCCAGTGTTCTGAAGGAGTTAACATTCCCTTTGCACACTGTTCCCTAGGCATAACCCCACCAGGACCACTAAGACCCTCACAAGGAACTCCATGCAGGGGAGGGAGAGGGGTTAAAACATGCACAATGCAGCAACATTTCCAGACATCATTCCAAAAATACACCTGGTGTATCAATGTTCTAGGAATCTCTTTGGCAGCACAAAATTAGTATGTTCTGGTGGTCCAAGACAAAAATAAAGGCAAACACCCCAAAGAGTAGCTGTTTATAGACTACTGAAAAGGAACTTCAAAAAACACAGGAGCACAAAAATGCCCTTCTTTCAGGTTAACTTGCAAGAAATTCAAACTATCCCAACAAGAATTGATTAAAGCCTCTTCATTGTCAATCACAATCTCTGAATTAACATGAAGGAGCTCACTCACACTGCTGAAAATTCACTGGAGACACAAAGAATTTGAAAGCAAAGGGAGAACTGCATTGTGCAGACAACCCAAGCAGGTTTCCTAAACTTTCAGATAAGCAAGGACAGGAATTACTGTTTGCCAAAGGTATAGTTAATCAGAAGTAAGGACACATACCAGTCTTTGCTGCTCCAACAAGAGATCAGCCTCCTCCTTCTCTTTCTTATATAAAATCTCCATTTCTTGTAATCTGAAGATGAACAAAAGGACACAAGTAGTCAGAGGTCATTATTTTCATGATGGGGTTGTTATTCTACACCCACAGTCCCCGAATTTCAGTCATAAGAGGAAAAATCACTGCCTTTGAAAGGAGCTGCAACCCCCTGTGAGCTTCAGCCCTTCACCAAAAGGTCTGGAGGGTTTGTGGCAGGTGCTTACCCATGATTTTTAAAGGAGTTGGGGCACTAAAACCCTACAATAAAATGAGGAGGGAGCTTTCTGAGGTCCCACAATGGGTAGCAGAGGTACCGTGTGGCAGAACCTGGCAACCTGCTGCTGACTCCTCTTTGTTTCAGGTAGAAATTCTGAGTTATTTTGTTACCTTTTCTCCATCTCCTGCTTCATGTCAATGCCCTGCTTCTCCAGGAGCTCCCTCTGAGCAAATGTCCAGTCAACTGGCTCCGAGGGAGTCTCAGCTGAGGGTGTTTTCTCTCTTTCTGCCCGTGCTTGCTCGGGGTGGTTGAATCTGAAGACATGATTTTTACCCATGATGATCCGATTTCCTGGAAATAGGAAGAGAAGTTTAACTCTTTCAGGAGTTAAAGGATTCCAAAAGCCCTGAAAAGCATCACTGAAGGATCCATCCCGTTTATCCCACGGGGTGACAGCCTAAGGAAGGACTGCCCTGTAAGATTTCTGTGTACATACAAGTTAAGCAGGGGACAAGAAAAAAAGGAGAGTGGTTTGTACAGAACAGTCACTGCTGGTCAGAACAACTGCTGCCAGAGGACATCATCACCCTCAGGGGTCCAATCTAATAATCTAATATCCCAGCAGAGTTTATAAAGAATTAAAGGACAAACCTGGGAGAGGGACCAACAGTTGCAGTAAATCAAACACATCACTAAATCCCATTCCTCCCCTCCCACACAGGCAAAGGCCACTTAAAGCAGAACTTTCAGCTTGAAAAGCCTGACTTCAAACACTGGAACACATGGATGGTGCTTACTTTGCTTTAAAATGTGGTTTATATGTATTGATTTTATTGGAGTCCTACTCAGTGGGATTTAGGGAAGGATTTTACAGCTACTTTTATACCAAAGTCAAAAGAGCTGAAGAAATCTAATCTTGTTAAGTCTTCTGGCTAAATCCTACAGTTATCAGATGTCCCCATGTGCATGTTGGAAGACATTAAAATGTCTCTGCACTTCCAGAGAGCACATTAATGGAGTTAAAATTTTAACCAGGCATCCTAGTAAAATCCACCTCCAAAGTACCCAAAATTGTCCTTATCAATACATGACTAAACCAGAGGATCTTAAAGTTGTCAGACACCATGTCTATATTCTTCTAGTAACCCATTTTTCTAGATACAGAAGGGAAAAAATGTACTTCTTTAAAGAGAAAATAAATTGTCCAGTCATGGTATTCAATATGAACCATATGCAAACACAGAACAGCAAAAACTGTCCCTCCTTTACTGTCCAATCTGGTACTGAAGTCACTGCACTTGGTTCCATGAAAATACTCACAGCTTGGTACAAAGAACTCAGAGGTGGGTTTTATTTGCTTGATTTTAGGGGTTTTTTTACCAGCAGAAAAATGGGGGAGGGCAGAGAAATACAGAAAGCACCAGAGCTTGAGAGAGACATGCTAACCCCCACAATTTAGGGGGGTCATTCCCTCCTCTCTAATTCTTCCCCCTCATGCATTTCCAAAGGAATGTAGGGGGCTGAGTGGAAATCTAATGAGAGCAAAGAGAAGCTGTTGTACTCCAGCAGAGGGTCAGACCTCAGCTTTGCCAGGAAACTGGGAATTTTCCATCAGCAACTGGCAGTCTGTCTGCTCTGTCTCACTGAGACTGCCAAGGGCAATAGGCTTGGGCAAGAATATTTGAATAATATCAGGGTAAGCAGCAGGACAGGCAGGATGCTGCATGGCAGAGAATATTTAAATATTTATTATATTTAAATACACTCAGAGCTGGTGCAGCAAAGGATGCAAGAAAACAAACTGCAGCTGAGAGAAGAACAGTATCAACTTCTGTTTAAAAGCTCCACTCCAGAAAGGTGACCCTGGCCCTCAACAGCACCCAGCATTGTCTACACATGATGGAGATGTCACATGTGGAGAATCTACAGGAAAATGCAGTGTAACATTTCTCACCTGAGCGCAGCTGCACGGGCTGCACCACCCTCTTGCCATTCACGTAGGTTTCTGATCGTTCACAAGGTTCCAAAGTAACAATAACTGCAAAGAAAACAACACTGACCAGTGAGACTTCAGAGAAACAAAAGTGTGCAAGCCCCCAAGGCCTCCCATTTTCTGCCTATCTTCACACTAACACCAAAAAAGTGAATCACTCCTGGATGTCGTGCTGGTTAAAAATAAACCCCACAAGGAAATCAATACTACTGACATCTCCACATATTGCAGCTGGAAATTATTTTTTTTTTCATGTTTGCAGTTAACCAAGGTCAGAATGTAACTGTTACACTGGCAGCAGACTGCAATTTGAAGCTATTATCACGATTTGAAGCTATTATCACCTAAACAAATTTTATTTTCTTCCCCTAAGACTGAAGAAAACAGCGAGTCAAAGCTGATTGTTCTCGAGGTCAGAGAAACTTCCAAATCCCAGTATTCCCAGGCTGAGCAGCAAGTGAGGAGTGAAAGATTCAGCAATGCTCTGCCAGCAGAAGCAGGTTTTTACCTTCCCCATTGTTGTTCCTCTCACTCCTGAAGATGCAGTGCTCCTCCTTGATATGGGCCCCGCTCAGGACAATGTCCTGCCTTCGCTCAGCATCAGCTTGGCCGACCCTGGGTCCAACAGAAGATATTTCAAGAGCAAATCAGACACTTTCTACAGCTCTGTGTAGGACAGCACGACCCAGAAATATCCAGGAAAAAGTCTAAACTATTAAGACTATCCTTCAAGTTTAAAGGTTTGAAGTAGCATTTAATTCTGCACTGCAGCTGTACCACAGAGTGGGGGATAACAGCTTCACAAAGAAAAAGAGAAGTTTTCTCTCTCTTAAAACATGTAACTTAAAGAGAGAACTGAAATGTTAAACACCTCTGGATTTCATGCAATTATTTCCCTCTTGTGCATCTCCTTTTCCCTTCAGGAAAGGATGCAGAAGGAAGAACAAATAAGTGACAGGAACTTGCAGCGCTGTGTTTTCAGCTGGCAGACAGGGATCATCCCTCCCAATAATCACCATCTGCACTTCAACAAAGGAGCACAAGTGGCTCAGGAGACCTTGCTGAATAATTTGATGCTTCAGACAGCAAGAGCTTGGCTGCATCCCTGGAGCATGAAGATTTATGCCCATTCCAAACTCAAGCACTTGAGTAATTCCAGATCCAGACAACTTCATTTCCAATCCTAATGTTCATGAACTTGCACTACTTATTACTTTACACATTTCTGATGTCAGCCAGCTAGGCTCAAAATTTATTTTTTAAGCCCTAAGCTATTCTATTCATCTTTCTGTGTGGAATTCTCTATAATTTGATGTTCCTTTCAGCAGGTCCAATGCATATTAGAGTAGGACCAGCCCCTGTCTGTGTACTTTCCTCCAGTTGTTCCCCAGGAATGTACAAACTAAGCAACCAAACACAGCTTGGTGCTCCAAAGATAATAAAAATCACCTCTCTCCTTCCAGCTGTCTTGACAACAAATTTTGGAATAAAATCCACTTAAAATTCCAAATGTGGCAATTAAATTTTATCTCATGCATGTGAATGCAGAATACATTAATTGTGCACAAGCATGGCTAACAGTTTATTTAAATAATAAAGTGAACACATCCATATTCCAGTTGCTATGGTTTTCAATCCTGCACCCATCCAAATCTCTCAGGCATTTATTACTTTTGTTTTCCTACACCTCAGACAGAGGGGATGTCAGCCTGTCTTTTACTGCCCAGGTGTAATAACAACCTCTTACAGCTGAGTGACTGCACACATTACCTTTCAAACACCAAATCAACCTCAAAGGAAATGCATTTCTGTCCCTTTTCTTCCACCTACAGCAATCTCACGCTTCATTTGTGCCTGCAAGTTGAACAGCTCAGGGCACAGCTGTTATTTAAACTCATGGAGTCTCCAGCACAGGGATTTAAGGAAGCAAAGAAGCAACCTGAGAGTGTGGGAGCAGCAACCTGAGAGTGTGGGAGCAGCAACCCTCACCTCGTGATGCCGTCTTTGATGTAGTAGAGCAGACACTCAGACATGAGCGGGTCTTCATTAAGGTTCACAAGATGAGGAGTCTGAAAGAACAGAGAGAAAGAGTTAATTGAGAGCTGAGATGCTGCTTTCAGGCTCCTGCAGCTGTGGAGGATGTGTAATGATCCAGCAGTGTTGCCATGTTGGAGGTTATTCCATAATGTATTTTTTCCAACGTAACTTCTCTCCGTACTGAAAAGCATCACAACATCCCAGCAGAAACACAGCTCAGATTGCTGAGTTATCTGAAATATCAATGCATAGAGGGAACAAAGGCCTCAACTGGAGAAAAAAAATCCTTGTAAAGTCTCTGTGAACTTTGATAAGAGAAGCCCAAGAGCAGAAAAGGTCCTTCAGTAAAATTTTGAAATGGATGTGGAATCAACTTTGGCTTTTCTGGGGCAACACAAGTCAGGTGTTCATTTAGCAAAACCTGTTAACAGCAAAATAAAATCTAAAACTACCAACACTCTCTGATACAAACAGCTAAAAAGCTCTTCATCTAAACTTCTTCTAAATTTAAATCCACTACAGTTGCCAAACCAACCTTCTTTGGTGAAAAAACCCCATTGGAATCAGCAAACAAGTCACAAGGCCTTGGTGTGAAAATCTACCCAGTGAGGTGGCAGTAAGGACAAGCACAAGAGAAAAGGTAAAAATGGTTAAACATAATTAAAGAAGAAAGATGATAAAAGAGAAATGAAACTGCTAATAAGCCACTTGTCCCTTTGTTACCCTCAGACAGAGTAAGTTTAGCAAAAGGAAGTAAATTTGGCTAAAATTCCTTGGGAACACTGCTACCATCAACTTACTCTAGCTGCAAAAAAGTTCACTTGAGAGACATGTTAACAGCACTCAGTTTATTGAGGCTCAAAAGCTACTGGATATTCACAATGAAACTTGGTTTTGAATGAAGAAATTTAATTGTCAATTACTCAATGGAAGATTTAACTATAAAGATAGGAAGGAGGGAAAAACAAGACAGCCTTTTTCACTCCTAAAAATACAGGGGTGACCTAAAACTGGAGCTGAAGATGTCCCATGCTGTCATCACTGCTCACTGCATTCAAACCAGCACCTGGAGCTGTGTAAAGCTCTTAAATCAAGAGAAAAATGGAGAGAAACCAAACCCCAGCCGTAGCCAACTGCTGTTCCACCACTAGGACTTGTACCCCTTGAACACTTTGCAAACAAAGCTGTACCTTGTAGGCACATGTTTTAGTATCTGAGGGCATTTACTGCAAAAATGGGTCTGTCACAGGCAACAGGGAGCTTTGTAAGAATAAAGCTCAACAACTTGAGAGATGATTCTGACAAACCCAACTGTGCACTCATTGCACAGGATTAAATATATATTGCTACCTCAGAAGTGTAAAGTCTTTATAAAAAAAAAAAAACCTTCAAATTTTCTATCTACATCTTCTAAATTTTCACAACAGCAGCCACAGGTACTAGAAGGAGAACTAATGGAACTGCAAGGATAGCAAGGAACAGAAGCAGATAGGACTAGGTTGGGAGTTTTACTTCTCCTAATAAATCCTATGTGGGTAAAAATAAACACTATCTATTACCAAAGCAACTACTTAATCCAGGTGGCATTTATACACAAACCTGATCAGCTGAAAATGCACCAAAAGAATCATCAAAAAGAGCTGATGGCCTCTGAGGGAAAATCTAAAAGGAGATGAGGATCCATAACATAAGAGAAAGAAATGTAAAGAACACTCAGTGAATCAGCACCTTTCCAAACCTCAGGCACTCCTGGAGCAGATTCCTGGAGTTCTACCTACTCCAAACATCACAGTCTAACACTACTGAACGTGAAGGATTACACATTTTAACCAATTCTGCTGTTCTACATTTCTGTACAAGGCCACTAAACAGGTCCCTGTTTAGCTTTAGACCAAGTTTATTACACACTTTATTGCAAACCAGCACGTTTCAGGCTAAAATATTACCCCCTGCTCCTTGTTCAAAGATTTTTGAGGAAAGTTCTTTTCCTTGTACTTCTTCAATAATTCTGCTTTACCTGCAGAGTTGGTTTCTTTGCTGACTTCATCATTTTATAGCAATAGCACTGATTTATGCCCTTTTCCTGCACAGTTGTGCTTCTTTCAAATTTCAGAAAATAGAACTCCTGACAAGCACTGAATGGAATATTCCCCTGCACCCCCTCTGTTCAGTGGTTCACTAGCTCACAATCCCTTTTCCCAAGGGGAAGAAGGATTAACAAACAAATGCAAGGAAGAGCACCTAAACAAGACTTCAAACTTCCTTGGGTGTCTCACAGCAGAACAGGGAGAGCACATGAAGGTCACACAGAGCTACTGCAGGAGGTGGCAACAAACTTCAGAGGCAGCATTTCTGGTTTGCTACAAAATCAAGACATGCAAGGAGCTGCAAAACTTCTCCTTGAGCACAGAATCCTCTGAAGGAAGACACACAGAAGTTCAACCCTCATCCCCCTCTCCTCTCAGGCTGATCAGCCTTTTGGAGACACGATGCAATAGATATCAATTTTCTCTACCTTTTTAGGTGAGAAGACTCCCAGGGTTCCTCCATCTTCCCGAATGGCAACTCCCATTTCTGCCAGCAAGGCCTCCCTGAGAGAGAAAAGCAAGATATTGACCATATTTTAGGTTTCTTAGACAAATAAGGTCTAATGAAAGCCTGTAATGAATGCATTAGGCTTTGAACCAGCCTAGCCAGGGCTGTCACCAGCTCAGAGCACAACAGGGCGAGTTTGGAAACTTTAGTCCCAGAGTTGACAGGCTGTGGAACAGAACTTTAACTGAAAACCCAGGGAAGAGCAGAGCTCTCTCTCAGCTGTGCCCCTGCTGTTACACATGGAACACAAAGGTCAGCTCTGCTATCCCCAAGCACCATTCTGCTGCTCCTTTGTTTGTGAACACAGTGAAATCTCCATTTTCCACACTCTTCCCTTTTCCACAGACCATCCACATCACAGCACTTCCAGTTCCTGACCTTTCCATCCTAATGGCCTCAGTTTTCCTCAGTTTCTCTTCCCATGTCTCATTCAGCTCTGCAATGATCTTCTCAGATTCCTGTGTGAAAACACCAGAAGCTGTTTTACAATTCTTCCCAAAGTTCTTCACACAATACACAAAGCAACTGAAGTCTGTGCTCAGTTTGGGCCTCAAAATCATTTCATATATAAAAAGCACTCTTAGCACTTTAAAACTTTAATTTTTTCCCCTTAATTTTTAAAAAGGTAAACAGCCCTGAAGGCAAGCTGAGAAAAAAAGATGACTTCATATCTAACCACAGTCAGGCTTTATTTTGAACCACTTAAATTTGTTTCCCCCCCCCCCTTTTTTTTTTTTTCCATCTGATTTACAGACATTATTCAGTAACTGGATGCCAAGGAACTGCAGAGACCACACTGTTATTTCCATGGCAACAGCGGGTTTGCAATAGGAAAGGGCTATGCAGTGTGTGCTCCATTCCTGTGGCAGTGTCTCATGGACAAACAGGAGAATGAAGCAGAGATTAAACACAGCCAGCTCTCCCCACTCATCCACCCCTGGAGGTTGAGGGGGGCTGTCATAAAAATCCAGAAATCCTTCCCTGTGCTGCCCTTGTGTGAGGTTCAGCTGCAGGCAGGGCTGGGACAAGGTTGCCATTGTCTGGGGGAAGCACTGCCCTTCTGTGCTTCACATTTTAATCCGTGGGGGCTGGGCCAAGACAACACTGGCAGGATTATTCTTCCTCCTTTTTTTTCAACTTTGGGGTAATTTGCTTTTCTGAAAGCTGAGTGCATTTGCAAGTCAGACTTGGCCCACACTAGTGCTGCCCAGGCCTCGTGGAGTCTACACTTAGGATCAAATTTTCCATAATTAGCACTGCAGCAGAGGGCCCATAAATAAAACCCAAGAATTTAATTTAGAATTAATCGTAGCTCCAGGCTACAATTAAACCTAAATAATTCTAAAAGCAAAGGTAGTGCATGGACCCAGTTTCTAGCCCACCACTAAGTGCCCTTTTTAAGTGGGTTTCAGACAACATCCTGCAGAGACAGGATCTATTTATCATGGAAGTTCTCCCAGGCTCAGTGTCATTTACCCTCCTCCAAACCTACCTTCAAACGCTCAATGGCCTCCTCTCCTCCAGGTGTGGACATGATTCTTTCCTGTATACTGGACACAGATGTTAAGCCCACCTGACTACTGAGAGAGCAGGAGGATGGAGATGCAGTGAGGGACCCCATGGAGGCTGTGGAAAAATTGCCAGGACGTTGATTCTCGGTGGCTAGCAAGTATCTATGTTTATTGTTCTGAAAATCTTTCAGATCTGGGAGAGAGACACACAGACAGAGGGAAGGCAGGAAGAGGGGGAAAAGGAAAATAGGAAGGGGGAGGAAGAGGGAAGAGGAAAAAGGAAAAAGGAAAGGAAGGAAATACCAGTGTAAGAGGAAAGCATTTAAGCAGCAACAAGACAAGTTTTGTAGTTTTTAGATGGCAGTTCTGAAACAAATCTTTTAATACTAGTAACACAATAACTCAGCCCAGACCCTGAGTTTACTAGGAAGGACTGCATCATAAACCCTTCTGATCCAAAAAGCTTGAAAAACCAACTACACACTTGGCAAAAAGAAACCATCCTACTCCTCACTGAGCACTGAGCTGAGCAGCACAGAGCTCAGAGCAGGACCAGGTTCAGATCCTCAGCAGATAACTGACACTGTGGGCTGAACTCAGAAGAGACACCAACCCCTTAAACTCAGCAAAACATTCTCTTCCAGACTCCTGCAATCTAAAATGCTGAGTAAGTAAATCTTTATCTCAGCAGTGGTTCTGTGGGAAGCACCCAGACCACAGGACAAAGAACCGCCCCTCCTTCAACTCTCCCTGGGGAGGATGGGAATCACCTGCCAGCCCATGACAGGGAAAAGGGAACACAAGTTCTCAGTATTATTGTGTTCCTTCTTAACCTCCCTTATCTGAAAAAGGGAAATTTAACATATCTGAGTGAAATATCTGATAACGCTCTCATACTTCAGAAGGTGCTTTAAAGCTTTTTGGTTGTCAGTTTAAATAAGAAAGGCCTTTAAAAAAACCCAAACAACTAAATTTTAATAAGGCAGCTTTTGTAGCCCGAAAACCTGGAGGTTTGAAAGATGACACCTTGATAAACAGAGAACAAGGAATAGCTGCCTGAATGATTTAAGGACAAATATCCAGTGGAAATTTATTTTAATTTGTCTTCCATATGTCTGTTAACAATATGCTCAGAATAATTACACATTTAAAGAAAAATCCTCTACCATGAAAATATCAGACAACAGAATAGCTCTGTTCCAATATTTTAATAGTTTTAAATTCTATTTCAAAGGCAAATCCTTTGAAATAAGTAACTTCAGGAAAGGAACAGGTCAAATCAGGCCTTGAAAGTTATAAACAAGGGCATCACACTTATAAAAATGAGATGCCTAAATTTCCCTGTCCTCCTCCATCTCCTGTCCTCCTCCCCTGGCCAGCCCTGCCACTGGCAGCCTTTTGCCCTCCTTCACTGCACACTCAGCCTGCTCTTTCAGCCTCATGGAACTGGGGATTGCATCGAGTCAGTTTGAAAACCACCATCTGCAAATACAGGAGGCAGGGGTGGGAGTTCAGCAGAAGAAAAGCAGGTTAAAGGGAAGGGAATGCTGCTGGGATGAGGAAAGCAGGCATGACAGAGCAGGGATGAAGTCTCAGAAGGCCATGCACTCCTGCAGAGAGAGGAAGGGGCACTCGCAGTCGCTGAGTCCTGAGCCCTGCACACCATGCACACACTGCCCCAAAATCTGAGCCCTGCACACCATGCACACAGTGCCCCAAAATCTGAGCCCTGCACACGATGCACACAGTGCCCCAAAACCTGAGCCCTGCACACCATGCACACATTGCCCCAGAGCCTGAGCCCTGCACACCATGCACACAATTGCCCCAGACCCTGAGCCCTGCACACACCCCATGCACACACTGCCCCAAAATCTGAGCCCTGCACACACCCCATGCACACACTGCCCCAAAATCTGAGCCCTGCACACCATGCACACACTGCCCCAGAGCCTGAGCCCTGCACACACACCATGCACACACTGCCCCAGAGCCTGAGCCCTGCACACACACCATGCACACATTGCCCCAGAGCCTGAGCCCTGCACACACCCCATGCACACACCCCATGCACACACTGCCCCAGATGAGCCCTGCACACACCCCATGCACACACCCCATGCACACACTGCTCCGGGGGCTCCGCTCCCACCCCAGCACATGGCACACACTGGAAGCAGCACCAGAATGTCAGACAGGCCAGGATGAGTCTTTACACCACCAGTAGCTTTAATTTTAGGAAATATCAGACAGATCTCTCTCAGCTGATACTGAGTGAGGGCGAAGGAGACTGACTGAAAGAGTTTAAAGAGTCTACTGACCCCAAATTGCCAGGGAATACACTTCTCTTGCAATGGACTCCATCTATTCCCCTTTCATGGAAGCAAACACCAACAGAAATAAAATCTTCCTTGCTGACTGGTTTTAACCCTATCAAATTAATCACCTGCAAGTATTCAACCTCAAGTTGAATTCAACCTCAAGACCTTCATCAGTATAGGACGCTCAACCTCTTTCTTTTTTTTAAAGGACTATACAAAATAAATAAATCTCAGTGTCCAGGAGGAACTGGACATTTTATCTTGAGCTCATCACCTGATACATTTCAAACAAATATTTCTAGTTGGAAAAGAGCCCTTAAAATGCCAGCAGGAACTGCTCAACTGAGTAACTGGGTAAAGATTCGAGAAGATGATTTTCTACTTCAAATCTAAACTGTTCACTGTCATGAAAACACACTGAAGAACTACCACTCCCCCTTCTATATTCTGGCACAAAGAAAGCAACAGATATATGTTGCATTTTAAACTTTGCACTGTTTTTTGCCTGTGGACTCAATCTAAGAAGTGCTGGTGAGGCTGGTTTTCATGGAACTGCACTGCATTCCAGTGAGTGTTCTGTCTGGGATTTCCCTGTGAGAAATGCTGGCATGCAAAGCTCTGTTAAAAGCTGACCCAGAGAAAGCAGGTTAAAGAGAGAACCACACAATACACACATTTGCCTCCACTTCCAGAGTATTCATCTCCCATTGGATCAACTGAAAGGAAGCAGGAGGGAAAATACAAGAAGGATCAAAATTGAAGGTTCACTAGCGACACAGGAAGGGAAGAGAATTCTACTTGAGATTTAAAGAAACAAAACACAGTTTTTCAGTAACGGTTTCTTCAGTTTGGATTTAGAACCAAAACCCACAGACTGTACTGAGCATGAAAACACTTGTATTTCATTGTCTTCTGGCCCCATCCTCTTGAAAACAAGCAAACAAAGAGGTAAATACATGTTACACGTCTTTAAACAGCCTGTGACTAAGTAAGGGCTTCTGCTTCACAGATAAAAAGCTCTGATCAGAAACAAGTGCAATATTCTTTTGTTTGTTTGTTTTTTAAGTCAAAGAATCTTAAAATCCACTGGAGCACACTGTGTGTTTTTATGGGCATTTCCTTCACTAGGGATGAATTCACTGCTCATACTGTAGCAGAATGCAGCAGCTACAGTTTCAGTTCATTAGCTTTGTTTGGAATGAGGACAAGGAAATTGGGCACAAGTGTGCTCTGGTGCTTTAAGAGGTTGCTGGCAAAGCAGATCAGTACAACATTGCTCTGCCAACCTAACTCAGAACCTCCCAAATGGATTCATTAGTTATTCACAAGCAGCTGTTTAGCAGCTATTTCAAGATGACAAATGATTTGTCACTCAGGACATTGTCTGACATGAGCCATTGTCTCCTTTTCTGAGCGAGGATGGCATTGAAGCCAGGTATCAACCCATAACCCTAACCCTTTAAGGGGGAAGAAAAGATGCTTTTTATTCTCAGTATGAAACTGAGTTTCTCTATCTCAACTCCTTTCACTGGCAGCCAGACAAAAAGCCCTCCATAACTCACCAGGGCATCTCCTGAATGGGTAAGTTCTATTACACAAAAGCATTTCCACAGTAATAGGAAACTCAAACTCCTTGTTTTTCCTTGAGAGTTTGAAGGTGGCAACTCCACAGACAATCCTGGTTGTTTAAAGACACAAGAGGCTGCCATTTCTAAAATGTCCCATCTTACATATCAGCACCTATATTTAAATCTCGTGCTTTAAATCCCTTTCTCTCCCAGGCCCAGCTCTCCCTCCTCTGCCGCAGAGGCCGAGCTCAAGATGGTGAGGGTGTGTTTAATCCACTTACTGTCGATAATATCTCCCAGCCCTTGAGCACGCAGGAGATCCTTCAGCCTCGTCACCTCCTCCTTCAGCTCCCTCACCAGCTTGGCGTTGGGGTCCTCGTTGATGACGGCGTTGCACTTGATCTGCTTGGCGCGGTCGGCGTATCTGCAACCGCAGCACAGCCATGAACCCTCCCAGCCACCAGGGAGCTGCTGCTGGGCCACCCAGCAGTGCAGCAAGACACAACAGAGCCCCCTCAGCTTGCAGCTGGATGGCAGAGGAGATTATGTGGCTGGATTATATTCAGCCATGTGTTTGAATTCATGCTTAGCACAGGGTACGGCAGCAAAAAAGACAAGTTCTGTTCAAGATGGATTAACAATATGTATGACAGACAACTTTTTTGTCCTTTATCCAGTGCTTTGACCAATATGCTCAAGTTTAAGGACAACACTGTTGGTATGTTCTTACACACCAATATGAGAAGATGAGTTTGACTTTTCAAGTTAAGGGTAGGCAATAAATCCCCAGCTCCCTATAGATTGGGGTTCCTCTTTAGGGTAACTGAGGTCTTGCCAGCACAGTCTCCTTCCCCACAGATATTCTCAAAGTATAATAACCCAAAGGTTTGAAGGACAAAATATGGCCATTAGAGCAGTTACCCACATCCATCTCAGAGACACAGAAAGTACCTTAAAGTGCTCAGAGTTTCATCATAGTTTATGTCTGCTGGACTGAGAGCAGCAACCATTGCAGTTCTGGAGTTACCACCTAGAGTGAACAGGCAAGATTTTAGATGAAACAACAGTGCACCACCCAGGCCCTAATTACCTACTAAATATCAGTATTTTCAAGAAATTATAGAATTCAAATATAGAATTATAGTCTCCATTGCCAAGAAACACACAGAAATCATAGGAAAGAGTTGTAACATTAACACAAGGTGAGACTATGACAACTCAGATTAGAGTACTAAAAATATTTAACATAGCACTTGATACAATTTTGAAGTGACTTAAAAGCAGTCAGGAAGTTCAGTGAGACTCCTTCCAGAAGACAGATGAGCCATACCTAGATTTTCCCGGAGAAGCCACGTTAGTACAGAATCCCTGTAGGGTATAAAGTCTGTCTTCTTCTTTTTTTTACTCTACAAAGGAATAACACAGTATGAAAAATAGACACTGAACAGAAAATTTAGGACATAAAATTCACAGTATGGGTATTGAAAGGACCATGACAATATACACAAATGCCACCCAACCATGGGGGGCCCACCCTCGGTTGTACAAGTGATGACTCAGTTTGGTATTAGATAACCTGCACCAGATTCAGACACCTCAACAGATCATGGGAAGCAGCTCAGAGAACTCTCCTGATGTTCCACCTTCAGAGAGGTTTTGCTGCGTGTGAAAAATATCTTCCTGATATTTAATTCCGTGTTCTGACACCATTCCAAGAAAATTGAAGTAGCAAACCTTACATTCAGGTAAAAAAAACAACATCTGCTACTACTCAGACCATCCTACCTTGCTGGTGCAGTTATCCTAAGTTGAAAGCATTAAAGAAAGAGGAAGAAGATACAGGATGAGCTTCTTGACAGAGCTTTATATGTAATTTCCACGTTAGCTTGAACAATACTTTCTCTTCTTGACAACCCAAATGAATGAGAATTGTTTCAATTAAAAAAAGAGAAATTTAAAAAGCACTTCAGCATATTCGGCCTGTCCAGCTGTTGAAAACTCTCTTTTAAAAGGAGCAACAATAATTTATTTGTTTTGGGTTTTTTGTTTTTTTAATAATAGTTGAGTATCAAAGTAAAAGACACAGTACTTTTCTAAACCTACAACCCTTTGCTTGGATCAATACATGCTCACTTAACACATTATTAAGTCTTGCCATTGCAAAAAAAGCCAGTGATAATCAAATACTACACTGGTATTTCTATAATTTTTAACAACAAAGCTGTAGTTAGTTTTCTAAAATTATTCTTTCAAATAAAAATAAAATTATTACTGCTCTGCAGAACTAAAAACCTGCTACATGAACAGGTCTTCTACACAAACACAGGCTTCTTTTGCAAGGCTTCTTCACAGTTAAACAAACAATGCTTCAATCTGCCCACAAATCAAGGTTCTGCCATGCATGACCTCCACAGAAGAGCATCAGCACTTTCATCTATCAAAATCCACACAGCTAATTGGGCTGGGAATGTGAGGCCAAGAACAGTGAATGGTTCTGCTGTACTCCCTGGATTTTGCTGTCTCAGATTTACCAGCTGTGCAAAGGTTGTTGCAGGTAAGTAAATGCTGCACTTACCACTTCAGCCAGCGCTGAAATAACTTTGCCCAGAGTTGTGAGGGACTTGTTTATATTTGCTCCTTCCTGAAAAAACAGAGGACAATATTATACAGTAACTAAAACTGTTCAGCCATCAATCTCTGTAGTCTTCAGTTTTGCAACTGTTTTTTCCAGACTTATAAGAGCAATCCTTTCTTTTCCTTTTCATCTGTAAAGCAAAGGCTGGACATGATGGTTGTGCACCCACTTCCCACTCTCTGCCCATCCCTGCAGTACCTTTAGCCGGGTTCCTTTGGCACCAGTGGAGTCAGCTCTCTCACTCCCAGCCAGATCCACCAGGCTGATCTTGCTGACCTGGAGAGGGAAAGCACAGCAACGTGAGACTCAGAGCAAAACCAAAACTTCAAAGAGTTCTACGGCGTTGGAACAACTCTACTGACTCAAAAACCACCACAGTGTCCTTAAAGCTGCAGTCAAACAGCTTTCACAAGCAATTAGCTTGATGCTGTTCTCTTAGGGATAAGAAGTGTCTGGGATTATGTCCTGGTTTAAGTATCACTATACCCAAAAGGGAGAATGAGGTCTCACATGAACAGAGCAGAAGTCAAAGGGAATTAAGCATTACTGCTGCAGATAACACAAGTATCTCAAAGGAAGAGAAACCACACTTTATCTTGGCTCTGGTGGCACCACCAATAAAGCACTGGCAGTTTGTGGCTTCAGTGAGGCTGGTCAGTTAATGACAACTACCTCTGATAATTAATTTTACAGGGTCTTATCATCTAGGAGGCTTTCTTCAATAAATGATTTTTTTCAGGTCTGTCCACAGCAGTCAGCTCAGAAATATGAACACTACCTGTATTTCAGCTCCTTTTGCATGTGGTACACCTTTATTTCAGAGTAATAAAAGACAAAAATCTGTTCCATGCTAAACAGTGTGCTTCCTTTTAACATGCTAATTCCAGAAAGTGCCTAAGTCTCACTCATCCCAATTCCTGTGCCCAAATGAAAGAACTAACGAGGCAAATATTTTGTATTGACAAGCAAAACCATTGAAAGTTCTGGGAACAAGACTGGGGAAAAGTAACTTCTTTTATTTCATGTATCACTCCCCACAGAACCTAGTCCTTAAGGCCATATTTTTCCCTAATCTATATATTCTCCTCCTGCACATGGGCCCCATTTAGTTGTTTTTAGAATTACAATCAAAATCCCATAGGAAATAAATGGGCTCTGTCAAGGCACACAGCAAGTTCACCCTTAAACCACCAGAAAAAAAAAAAGCAATTCTCATTTTCTCATCATCCTGCCAACAAGAATAAGTCACTGCAGGGAAGATTAAGTGAAGAACAGACACAAAACCACTGATCTGTAACACACCTTCTCTGTGGAGAGATCAGTCTCTGTGTCGTGTTTCTTCTGAGTGAAGACAATTGTAAACACAGCGTGGGAGCGGCTGCTGGTTTCGTTCATGTTGGTGGCTGCCACAGTCCTGAAATGAGAACAGATATGGGCATGTTTAGAAAAGCACAACTCCTGCAGGGCTGGATGCAGCTGCAGAGCAATGGCAGCAAGAGGCTGGACAGGTGATGTTCTGCCCTGTAAGCAAAACCAAGCCACACCTAATCCCACTAATAAACTCTTTGATTTTTTCACTCCTGAGCTACTCCCATCTTAATCAGAGTTTAAACAGAGCTTTCTCAATCTTTACTGGATAATCCACCTCACATGCAAACACCCAAGGAAATGTGAGCAGCATTTCTGTGAGTCTTTCCCACACATTGTTCAATGGAGCCAACAGCTGACATGGAAACAACTACTAATGAACCAGAAACTAAAGCTGGAATGCCAACTTTAGTCCTGACCACTTGAATGAAGGAAAGAAGGGACTGAGCTCACATGTTTATTTATACCAGGATAGTGATACAGTGCTCAGCAAAGGAAAAACTAAATGCTGGTATAACTATTTAGACACTTCATCTCAAGTCTCATTACAACCTTTAAATGTCTACATAGTGATTTGCAGCACTATTTCACCACACAGATCAATACCAGCCTTTTAATAGCATTGATTTCAATAATACTCCTCATTTACATGAGAGGGTTTTTTTGAAGTGCCAATGCATCACAGTGATAAAAATATAAAAAACCCCCCCATTACTCACCTGGCTTTGTTCCCAGCATCCATGAGGTCTGCAATGTCTGTGTAGGATGTCACTGCCAGCTTGGACAGATCCTCCACGTAGGGCCCAAGGAGAGGATGTTCTCGCACCCGCAGATTGCCCTTGTTCTTCGGGTTCAGCAAGTCCCTGACTCTCTCACAGTAAATCTCCATGTAACTCACCTGAAAACAGGAATTTGCATGGATAATTTAGTGTTTCTTAAGGCTTCCTCTGCAGCATTTCAGTGTGCCAGTGGTAGAAATTCCCCCAGTCCACCACAGCAGAGTTGTAGGTGGGTGTCTCTTCATTTAACAGCTCAGACACGGGCAGAGGGAAGAAGAGTCACAAGTCTCATGCATCAGATCTCCAACATAAGCTGCTGGCCTTGCATCCATGTATAAATCCCTCAACCATTTCAGAAAACATTGGTGTGCAATGAAAAACTGTGCACTGGAGTTCCCAGTCATCCCTTAATGACACAGCAGCAAATCTGCTTCCTAAAGCAATAAACAAGACAGAGGGCAAGAGGAGTCTGATTCCAAGGAGCCTCTTATGAACCTTCAAAGCAGACTTAAGACAGAAAAAAATTAGTTTCTCTGTATGCAGAAGCCACTTTTGATTCTAAAAATTATGGCTATAGTCTTTTGACAATAAACATTTAGGTTCTTCAGCCCATCATTTCTTTCAGAATAACTACACAGGGAAAGGTAAACTAGTTTTCTGTTGGGGTAAAAAAAGTCATACAAAGTTTTTATTTATGTTTGCCTCAAACATGAAACAGAGAAAAGACATAAAGCTTAAAAAAATAAAATTTTTAAAATAAAATCCATCAAAAATCAGCATCCTAATGCAACATCAATAACCCAGCACCCACGCTCAGTTTGATGTCCAGCACACAGACATCCTTTCATCACTTATCACACTCACCTCTACGGAATATGACATTTCTTCATTGCTGTTGTCATTGATTTTCTCAAACAGCTCCTCACACAGCTGGGAAGAAATTAAACCCAAGTCAGAAATCAGTCCTTTCTGAGGAGTAACAAGTAACTACTATGACATGTCACTGAAATGGCTTTAGAATGAGGGCAGGGGAAGAAAAAGAACCTAATGCATCAATCCCATGCAGCCTCACTGGGAGGATAATTAATTTCAATTCTACATCACTATCAACGTTATTTTATCTGGGATCTCAACAACTGCTCTGGGTTTCACCAATATTATCATTCTGTGCTGTAAATAGGAGTAAGCTGCAGTTCTCTGCTAACTGTTACTGCAATACAAAAATGGCATATCAGCAAGTGTGTGTCTGAAGATGATGTAGGAGAAATTTGGATTAGGTTTTAGGAAGGACTTCACTATGAGGGTGGTGAGGCCCTGGTACAGGCTGCCCAGAGAAGCTGTGGCTGCCCCATCCCTGGAAGTGTCCAAGGCCAGACTGGATGGGGCTTGGAGCAACCTGGGCTAGTGGAAGGAGTCTCTGCCCGTGGCAGAGGTTGGAATGAGATGATCTTTAAGGTGCCTTCCAACCCAAACCATACCGTCATTCTGTGATCCTAAAAAACCAAATGCCCTTCCTGGGCTCTGTTCTACCTGGGGGATGATGCCTGCTTGGCTCTCCTCCTGCTTGCCCATCATGGTGTAGGATTTCCCAGCCCCAGTCTGCCCATAGGCAAAGATGCAGACGTTGTAGCCCTCGAAGGCGTGCAGGAGCATCTCCTTCCCAATGTCATTGTACACACGGCTCTGGGATGCAAAGCAGGGATCTTCAGGCTGGAAAGAAATGGAAACAGCATAAACACAGACTCAGCCACCATTCCAGTAAGATTTCAAAAGCAACTGGGTTTTTTTTCAACTTGTATCCTGTGGATCAATCCCTCAGCAAGAGGTAAATCAGCTCATTTTTAGCACAAGCTGGAGAAGAATGACAATGACCATGTCACTGCATTGTTTGTGGGGATATCTTACTCTAAATCTGGCATTCTCTTGCTTCCTGAAATGTTGGATTTGAACATTACCTGCTCCCGAAATCAGGACAAATTTAGCTGTGTTACCATTCTAATGTTGGGATCAAGATTTTATCAGACCTCCTCTGTTCCTTGATGCTGTTTATCTGCTTATTTTCAGGCATTATGTTCACAGTGTTCCTGTGACTGGTCTGTAATCAACTCACAGGGCTGCTCTAAGGGAGCAGTAAGGGAGGTGAAGGGGTTTTTGTCTTGAAAACAATCTTGTTGGCCACAGATTTGCTCAGAAATATTAAGTCTTATTTCACCACACGAGTTACTAAAATTAATCCCAGAGAAATGTATTATCCCTTCTTTATATATCTTTTAGAAAACAGTGCAGGGGAGGAGTAGGTGGCAGAACAACAGAGTTCTGCTGGAGAACAATTACTGGAAGTCAGTGAGAGCTGAGCACCGATTCACAGGAGGGTGGGGCAGAGGAGCCAGATGAGAATTTATTGCTTTTGCAGCTACTGAAAACATGGATCACCACACTGCCTCTTCAGATATGCCAAGGGAACACAGACAACATCCCTCCTCGAGCTGCAAGAACTCGAGCAACTGTCACTTGTCTAAGAGGACAACTGAATTAACTGTGGCTCACACTATCTTTCAAATATTTACAGCTGGTTGTAGCTTTCTGCTCTCCCCAGAGAGGGCAACACAACACACAGTCACAAGCTTTTAACCTGAATGAGGGTGAGAGAGTGCAGAAACATCTGACAGGGGTGCCTTGATCAGAGGGAATGCAGTTAAGTCACACCAAACAACAGCAAAACCAGGTTTTCTTGGAAAAACACTCACCGATGTGTGGGACCAATAAGAGTAGTCAAAGCTGAAGGACTTTGGTGCTTCCTTAGGGTTCTTTGGGTTGATAATACCTACAGGAAACAAAATTCAAACTCTTAGTTAACTTGACATTTAGGAGCACAGTTGATGAGCTTGCTGACCCACAGTCTGTGATTCTGAGTATTCAGAGTTGCCTCACTGCACAGGAGTAAGAAGGCTGAAGCAAAAGACTCACAGCTTCCTCACGCTGGATTTCTGCAGGCCTGATTTCAAGTAAGTCAAGGAAAAAAAACCTCCCAGAAGGAATATGTGGTTGCTAAACAAAATTCTGTGTATTCCCCACAATTAATGAAAGCTTTGCCAGGCACCTTTAGGTTGGTGTTTTGGTGGTTTTTCCTTCCCAGCTACAAAGCACCTTCCTATAACCTTTGCTTGGAGGGGAGTAACGATGGATCCAGCTGTCATTTTAATGTCTGTAGTCTCTGTATTCCAATAATTTATAAGCACAGCCCTTGTTGGAGAAGTGAATCTCTACTGCTTCCTTCTTTTGGGTACTACAGTGCTGGAAATACTTAAATCTGTTATTTCCAGCAGCTGTTTTCAACATCATCTGTGTAAGGACTGTAAAAAGGCCCAGTCCTGAGGGTGCCAAAATTAGATAAATCACCTTAGATTTACACACACCCACCTGCACCTAATGCAGCAATCTGCCTTTGGGGATGAGACACCAATTATGATAAGTGCAAACGAAGTCCACAAAAAAAGAAGCCATGCAAAGGTGTCAGCAGCCTTCCTGGGGAGGATCTACATCCTGATACCACTCATCCTCAACAGAAGATGCTTATTCCTCACATATTCATGTCAGTTAGGCTTTTCTTTGAGAAACAGGGGCTTTCCTTCAGTGATAAACAAAAATTCCCTCCCCCACATCTCTTACCATTCCAAACACAAACTCATCATCTTGGTTCACCCAAGCCTCTGAAATCATGGTTACAGAACCCCCATTAAAATCAAATCACTCCTCTACCAGATGCTGTTTCCCTGAGCAGGGCTGTTGTCCAAAATTATACAGTGTGGAGAAAAGATCACTGTCTGGACTGCAAATAGCAACAGTTGCTACTCTATTTCTCGTGGCCAACTCCGTTTCACTTGGATGCACCTTGTGCTGACATTCTTGCCTTTAAAAAGCTGACAGACAGGCAAAGCCAATGAATCATTTGCACCAGCACAGTATCAACTTGCAAAAATGCCTGTGGCTTTGGGTAGCAACGTGGGCACCAACACAGAACAGACTGTAACCCAAGAGATCATATATGGCTGGAACTTCCCTTTATTGGCTCTGCCCAAACAGCAGCGCAGCTACAGCTCACAAAATTCTCCAAAGAGAACAAAAAACAAAGCCCACAAGCCAACTTCCCTGCCCCAAAGTTAAATCAGCTCTCTCCTTGCAGTGTGTTCCAGACTGCTACTATTCAACTTCTAATTTCACATTTGATGTGAAGCTCTGAAAGGTAAGGAAGAGGCAATGCCTTGTACCTGGAAGTTCCTACCCAAAAAGAGCAGTACAAATAAAAATCAATCTCCAATTAATGCCTGCAAAAGCACTACAAGCTTGCCATTACCTCACTCTACTTGCTTTCAGCTTAAATTTGATCCATCACATTTGTGAAGAGTAAAGTTCAGGCTCTGTCACTTATGCAAGTCATTCCACTCTGCCCCATTTTTTTAAATCATTATTTATTATTATTGTTGTTATTTTCTTAGACAGGCTTTCCTTGGCTCTTCAAGCCAAGCTCCACATCCAGCTCGCTGTTTTGAAAACCACTTTCTAGGATGTATGTTTTTGCAAAGCATATCTCGAGAAGTGTATCAGGAAAGGGAGTTTAACTGCAAGAAAGCAGCTCTGTCAGAGGTTGGGAATGCAGCTGCCTGGCCAAACCCTTCCACTGCAGCAGGAATGGGCCAGAGCAAAGCTCCCTGCTGCCAGGAACTCTGCATGCTGTCCCTCAGCACTGGGATCCAGCCACAGCCTTGTCACTCAGCTCCTGGGCCAAGCCTGGAGCCTATTTATCCCTCATTCCCTGCACACAGTTACATCCTCCACTTTCAGAACCACTGGTTTCACAGAATTCCCAGTCTACAAATGAATCCAGCAGAGCTGACCAAGGGAGAAGACATGAGAGTATGACCTCAGCAGCTTTCAGCTGGACTAAAACCCTCTTCCTTTGGGACACGGAGCACCAAGTGAGTGCTGCCAACATCAGTGATGTCTGCTGTGGTCCGAGTTTGAAACCAAGTGCTCAGGGATGTAACAATGTGAGATGAAACCCCTGGAGGAAGATGGTGAGGCAGCTCAGAAACCAGGAATTGCAAGTGAAGTAACAGTTCTAACCTGAAGGGGTCTTTTGCACCAAGCATCTCCTTTGGAGGGACAAGAAAATCCCTGAAATCTGTGTCGCTGAAGAAATTAAAAGGCTTCTTATAGTACAGGTAAGCTTTGTCCTAAAAGTTCATATGCCAAATTGGGGAAGGAAAAAAAAAATTGAAATGATGCTGCAGAAATTAAGACTGAGTCAGCAATACTGATTATATGTACTATGTTTCTCAGTACACTGTGTTTTCAGCTGAACAAGGAAACAAATAGAAATAAAAGAGGAAGAGGAGTGTTTCCAATGTCTTTAATATCCACAAGAACAGTAAAAGCTTTTCAGTTACTTTGTTTGGTTTTGAAACCAGGCAAGGCCGAGGTGATTTGTATGAGTGAATGATGAAATAGGTCGTCCTGTATCTCCTCTCCCCACAGCAGCCTCCCCGCATGGTCCTCACACTAATGGTTTAATTACAGAGCCCCAGGAAACGAGGGAGGCAATAAGGCAGCGGATCACAGCAGGAACACATTAATGGCCTTTTTATCTTACAGAATAAATTTGTTTATCTGCTATTGCAAAGGTCCAATGTGGCAATTAACTCTTGTGTTTGCAAACTGACACTAAAGCTTTGTGCTGCAGCTATAATTGCCATCAGCGTGGCACCGGAGCAGCCCGGAGTGTCGGAGTTAGCCAGGTCCTGGGAAACTCAACCCCTTTTGCAGGCCCCTTCCTTCACCAAGAGCCAACTTAGTAGGTCATGGGGAATCTTGCAGTTTTCCACAAGTTAAGTTTGCTGCATCAAAGAGAAACTGGAAGGGATATTTCCCCAACTCGCTGTCTCCTGTAGCGCTGCTACTGCAAGGACAACACATGGCCCCGGTGTGGGGAGGATGGAACAAGCTGGAGATCCTCTTTTCCTCCTGCAGGGCCTGAAACCTCTTCCAGGATCAGAGCAACAAGCACAGGGTGGGTTAATGTCCATCCTTTACATTCAGCATGGAAGGCCAAGGAAAAGGCAAGGGAACGTTCACAGTTTCAAAATATCCAATCATTGATTTGGTTGAGGGAGATAAATGCCCACACTATTTCTTCTCTTTATTTGAATTATGAATTTCTGAAAATTTTGAATAATAAGCTTCACCTTAAGACATAATATTTAAAATCTGTTTTCTACCTTTGTAAGCAAATAGACAAATTAATTACACGTCATAAATTGGCAGAACTAAAAGCACCTTGTGTGAACAGCAGCTGATTTAATACCCACTGCCATCCCCACCAGAGACACAGCTTGTATTTTAAAAGCTTATTTCTCCTTACAGTTATACAGGAAGCCATGCAGAGCTGCCTCATGCCATCTAAAGTTCCTCTAAGCAGGAGTAATCCACATATTTTCTGGAGCTCAAACAACCTAAACACTTCTTTTTAGTTCTTCAGCTGTTTAAGTTTGGTGGGGTTTTGATACCTGTAACTACAAATGTGAGTTTTATATCTCACTGACCCAATGGTGAGGAAATGGATCATTTTAAAACAAATTTCCTCACACCAAATAGTCTAAATTTTTTTAGCATAAGATCCAAAAAGTTTTACTAATTAGTCCTTGTACAGGACAAGTACATAGGAGGAGCAGTGCAGCCTCATAAAAGGAGAAAGCAGGAGCACAATCAATGAAAATTATAATTTTAGATGTGCTATACCAACAGCAATAGAGCAAGCTCCACAAAGCATTTGGATTTTAACTTAAACAGGCAACTTCATTCCTTGGCATTTTTACTGCTACAGTCCATCCCACTTGTTCCTTAATTAACATTTTCTATACCATCCACCATCTGCTTTATCAGCTAGCACAAAAATAACAGACATTTTCAACCTTTCCAATCTATGAGCTCAAATTCACCCCTGGTTTTCAACTTTAGCAAAAACTGTAGCAATCCTTGAAGAGCCACTTCACCACTGAAACAGTACCCATATATTTTGTAATATGCATTAGTTTGCATTCCTATTGTCATTTTGGACATTGAAATTTTTTGCCTTAGAATCCAATCTGGATTTTCTGAAGCTGAAATTCAAAAAGCACAGGTCAAATATGCACTTTATTTTACAATTATAACCAGAGTGTGGAGTACAGCTGAGAGCTGATGCAAAGTTAAATTCTTCCAGGGTATTTCCAACTGGAAGCAGCAATCTCTGTCTTCTCACCCCTTCCTAAACATACACACAAACACATTCCCATTTCAAGCCTTCATTTCTGGACTTAACACTTCCATCCTCCATTAAAACTAACCAAGTAAACAGACAGTGGGAAGCCTACAGAGAGGAGGAAAAAAAAAAACCACAAAAGCAAGGAAACTTAGCCAAGATCAGCCCCCTCATTCCATTCCCATCTACTCAGCCACATAAATATTTTTGCAGGCACAAAGAATGACTAAAAGTGCTTCTTAACCACTCCAAACTCCTATCAGATTATGACACTGAATTTGCAGTCCAAGCCTGATCTGCTTTCATCCCAGTCAGCTCTGCTCCTCAGCAGTCACAAATTTGGCAGATTGGAAATTATCTGCAGTCCAGGATCTGGGGATCCACACAATTCCTTCTAACAAGCTCTTGGAACAGAGAGACAAAGCACACAAGAGGCAAGAGTTGAAATTATTCTCTTATCCCTCAGTGCATTTAAAGTCAAGTCACTTGAGTGCCCAGCTCCACCCCTGCCAGTGCCCAGAGTCATA